TTCTCATCTCTTGCAATAACAATTTTAAAAATTCTTGTTATCATATAACCTCTTGAAAGATTTTCCAAAGTCAACTCATTCATGCCAGTTGCACTCCTAAGCTAAGCAAATGTGAGCTTCACTGCTGGGTCACTCCATGACTTCTCAGAATTAAATTCTGCACAGCTTTCATTTTCTATGCAGAAGTTTCGGCTCAAATCAGACACGCATGACAATTTGCACTGCAAAAACAGTTAGCTGCATCTCTCAGGCAAAGACACAAAGGGAGCCAATTTTGCACAGGATCAGATATCTAACTGCTTTGTAATGACAGTCACAGCCAAATTCTGATTACTCCTCAGTGTATAAATAATTGGCATTTTTTTTCAGATGGACACAGTATGCTTCACCTGCTAAGAAACCTTGAAAATCTAGTTGAGTACTATCAGGAGCCAAAAGGACAAGTGTATTTGCATACATATAAATGTAAAATAGCATATTAGTACAATTACAGGAGTAGCTGAGACTGCAGTGATGCAGAAATATATCCTAAGCATTAAAAATAGAGGAATGTGTCTTCAAATTTAATTATAAACACAAATACTTTTAATTAACTAAAATTAATGGCATATTTAAAACATTAAGTAATTGCTTCTGGCCTTGTGGCTGTAATAAGCAATTTGTTATGTAATTAATTTTTATGCTTGATATTGCTCTCATCCCCATCTGGTCTTTTCACAGACCAGATTTCTGCACATGACCAGCAGCCATTTCACCTAAGCAAATTATCTCCAGTTCATCTAACACAATTGTCCTCACCAAGCAGTCTTATAATGACTTGCAGCTGTTTTGTCAGAGTTCTTAGAGAAGCTGTGGAGAAAGTGATTAACCTTCTTCTCTGTACCTATGGAACAGATCACATGAACAAACAGCACTTCTATTCTCCATCATCCCTTGCCAGATAAGGAAAGCCTAACAATTTAGGTTCATTCTGTAGCTGGTGAACAGAAGAAGAAGAAAAAATACAAATACAAAATTATGCCTTGTTGAGCCCATAAACTGCTGCTTTCCTCAGAACAATTTAAATAACCTTTCAAATGCTTGACTCTACATCTGCCATAATCTTAGTTCATTTGCTATGTTGCCTAAAGCTGATGGGTATTTCACATCTAAATATTCTGGACAGCATCATGTTGGAGGGAGCTATGCTGCAGCTTTCTTTGATTTTTTTTATATATATCCACAAAGCACAAAAGCTCTTCTTTGAGTTAGTTCCAAATCGAAGCAGCCAGTATTTAACTTTGAATGTTCTGTCTTTCTTGACTGTATCTTCACAAAACTAATAAATCACCTCTTTTGCAAGGTGTCTCTTCCCTTTATCTCAGTATAAAAGAAAACAAAGTGTTCCTCTTTATAGGTGCAACATTGTTCAAACAGTGCCTCCAGGAGCAAACTTCTGTCCAACAACAGCATCATCAATTCATAATATTTTAGGTGGCACAGACCATCCCTTTCCAATAATTAACACAGTACTCCATGTCTGTTCAGGGATTCCTACTGAATAAAAATACATCAAAGTGCTGCAGTCAATTCTGCCTAGTGCAGCATTATCCATTTAAACACTCCCATCAACAGAAATCCTTCTCCAAGGGTAGAATCCAGGCTATTATTCTAATATACTTGTATACAAAAAAAAATTTTGGGATATTTCTAGAGTAGGCAGCCACCAGCAACTATTCATTACACCTGCTCCTCATTATGCTTTTGTTTAGATCGACTAGCAAGCTTGTGGAATCAACTCCACACTGGTAGAAATGACCTTCCAGGCTTCTGTCTTTCACAGCCATTTCTGCAGAAGCCCCAAAACTGGAATTTTTGTGGCATACAAAGCAACTGCTATCTTACATGCAATGAATGGACAAGCTGTGCTACGGAGTAGCTGACAAGTCTTTCATGTTGATTGCCTACTGTAAATCTTAAAATGTCCAACAATATTTCATCTTTACCCAAAAGGAAGCTAATCCTGAAATTAAAACAACTCCCTCTACCCACCCCATAAGAATCATCAAGCAGAAACATGAAATTATACATTCCTACAGAAATTTTATGCAATGCCAGATTACCCTTGTAGAGAACCTGGGTGTTGCCAGATGCAGCTGAAATCAATCCTTAAGATTCCCTTTCCTCTGGCAAAGGGGCTGTATATATTTGGATACGTATGTGGGAATGTGCATCCTCGCACACCTATCTCCCCAAAGGGAAACTCCAAGGTAAAATAGATAATGATTAAATAACATTTAATGCCTGTAAAATAAGATAATCCGTTCATTAAATTGATCTTCTGCCTGTATAAATGAACCAATCTTTCCCACACAAACAGAAGCACACACACATATATAGGCCCCTTCCACTGCCAACAGAAATAGCAAAAACAAAAGGGGGAGGGGGAATCAGGATGCAGATGGGAGAAGGAAAGAACAGATCTGTATAAACTAGAGGAAGAGATAACTAGACAGAGAAAAGTGAAAGAGAATTCCTGTTTAGGAATGACAAAAAGGGCAAACGGTATAGCAAGAAGCCCTATACCACCCCCAATCTGGGGAGGCTAATTTTCAAAGGCATCCTCAGCATCTATATCTGCATCATTTTCACTTCCTCCAATTTAGTAGATTCACTTCTACTACCTAAACAACAGGTGTTTAATTGGGGAGGGGAGGAAATAATCTTCCTATCTGAAAGGGCTGCCTCATCTTGACTGCAAAAATCCAGAGAACCACTAGATCAGGGGTTCCCAACCCCTGGTCCATAGACTGGCACCGCTCTGTGGCATATCAGCAACTGGGCCTCAGAAACAAGCCCCATTCGTGGGATGCAGGCAGTATGCAAAACCACACCCCCTCTGGTCTACGGGAAAAACCTTTCTCCACAGCACTGGTCCCTTGTGCCTATAAGGCTGGGGGCCACTGCACTAGATGACAGCATACCGGCTGGTAAACATGGCAGTCTTTGTGCACCCAACAATCATGTACTTCATAGACTCATGCTGACTGGATCAGGTGTAGTTGGTCGAAGACACTGGAGAGTACCAGATTGGCGAAAGATTCACATGAAGTTTTGGATGGATTTAAAATCCATTGCTGCTCTAAGCCAAATGCTTGCTACTTCTCCTTGAAATAAATGGAACTGTTCAGCTTGACCCAGTCATGTTATGTCTTTTGTTTGCTAAAAATCCATGGCAATGTAGCCTGTGAGTCCTGACCTGCACAGCTCTACCAGTTGAGGAGGGGCAGTGTTCTTCATTGCCAGGCAGATTTCACTGCAGATAAAGCTCTTCTAAGTTGGCCTTAAAATTGGGAGGAGGGGAAACCTATATAATAAAGACACTGGCTTCTTCTAAAGATTGCTGGAAATCAATAGCAAAACTTCCCAGGGGCTCTTCTCTTTTGCCCTTGGTCGCCTGTCATTACCACCAATTAGTCAGAGGAATCCTAGAATTGTCTGTTGTCATACTACAGTTTTTATTTACATTGCCTGGAGGATTGTATTTTGCCTTTGGGAATAATAAATACATTTATTACATGCGATGGGATTATTTGTATGCTTAAAGGAAAGATGGCGTAAAGCTTAGAAAGTAGGAAAGCATTGTAACATATAATCAGAATTTAACAGTTGTTGGTTTTTAAGCCAATAGAATTTTTTTTTAAAAAAAAACCTAAAGCAACTATTTGTGCTAAGGTGGATCACATACCTTCTCAGTAATCACTAAAATGAAGAGTAATACATCTTTAGAACTGCTTTAATGTTACACTGTAATGACATAATGCAGTACTAAAATACAAGGCTACTAACACCACAGCGAAGAAGAGATCATACAGTTAAAGAGAAATAGTTGTGAAGGACATAATTTTCCATGGCTTTAAATCAAGGCTGCAGGTTTTTTTTCATCTACCTGTTAAATACATAGCCTTGTACTTATAAACTCCAAATCCAGTTTCACGTTCCTGTTTTTATTTTAATTTTTACAAAACTGGGCAGGATAGAACAAAGAAAATGAGTTACAAGCAACCTGTGTCTGGCCCAAAGAGGTTTTTTGTTGTTGTTGGTTTTTTTTAAAAAAAGATCAAGAGCTCCTGTTTTCCTTCTGCAAATTAGAGCTCACTCTGTAATTGAGGATTTTATCCTGCTGTTCATCATTTTAATTAGGACTATTGTAAAATCCTAATAAATTGCACTACACTTTAAACGTTAATAATAGTCATAATGCAGATGTACAGAACTCCTGGAATAGTTATGAAAGAATCTTTTTTTGGGTGGGAAATTCCAACAATATGCTTACAACTCTGTGAACCAAATCCTAACCTTGCATTCTTCCTCAAATATAAGGAATTCATCTTCATTCCTTTTTAGCCTCCCTCTCTCTGATGCCCAATTGTGGATGATGGGGGCTGTAGTCCAGCCTATTCATGAGCATACCAGAACGCTGGCTGGAGAAGGCTACTTGAGATATTTGTTTAAGGAAGGTTAAACAGAAGAGTAATAATGCTGTCCACGTTCACAGTATTAGGTTTTTCACTCTTCACCGCACCCCTTTTGTGATCTTATCTCCCCACCTCACTCTCAGCCACTAGCTTTGAGATAGGATGCGGTAGAAGCATAACTCAGGAGAGGGTCTTACTTCTAAATCTAAGCACATCCTGTTAAAACCATTTTTTAAAAAAAAACAAAAAACCCATCTACTTCTGCAGCTAGGACGAGGTTATTCCAGGAATTGGGCAACATCCGCCTCTCTACCATTCACTAGTAAGCTGAGATCAGCCTCCATGCCTATAACCTGCTCGTCAAGGTTTAAACGACTCTCCAAGGCTGGGCTGCAACAGTTCCCTCTCCGCCCTTATTTCCTAGTGCGGATTTCACCCCCCCCCCATACATCAGCTGCAAGCACAGTCTTCCTGCTCCAGTCCCTTTCACAAAGGCATTCCGCGAGTTCATTCCCTGCCCTCTGCAGCTAGTCGTTTTCTTACCTGATTTCCTGATCCTCCTCCAGCAGTTTCCGAACGAGAGAATTCCGCTTGCCTTTCGCTGCCACAACGCCTCTGTCGTTTCGGGCTCCCCTGGGGGATAATTCCGGGATAGCCCTCCGGCTGATCCGCTAATCCTCCAGCAGCTGGCATTAAAAATCCAAGCAGGAAAATCAGCCGTTTCGGAAGGTTAGCTGGCGCTGCTGAATCAACCCATCGGGCTTGCAAATGCTTATCTGAGCAGAGCGAACGAGGCGGGGAGAAAGGCCATGCAAACGAACAAGACAATAGAGGGGGAAAGGGAGGGAGAGGAAACGCGCCCCCTTCTGGGGACCTTGTGCGTCGACTGGATGAACTCGCACTGTCCAGAGCCAACTTCGGGCGCTCCGCTGCATTTGTGGAACGCAGAAAAGCAACCAGGTTTTCTGTCTCTTAAGTCTCGAGGACCCAACCACCCCTCCCATTCCAGCCTCGAGGCGATGGAGGTTGATTTTACAATCTGGGGCACCCACTAAGGTTGCCTGACAAAACCCTTTGCTTTATTCCACTGGGAAGATGGTTTCGAACGCCACAGGAAGTTTTGTTTTCTTGTTGGCTTTTCAAACAGGCAGAAAATTAAATGAGAAACTTGGCTTGTGACTTTTTTTTCTTCTTTGCCATCCTCTCTTCTTTCTTCTGAGGCATCTCATTTAAGCTTGTCATAAAGCAAGAAAACGCCTGCAGATTTGGAGCAAAATCCGTATTATATTGTGCAAAAACACCTTGAGAAAAATTGAATGCTCAATTGTACAAGAAAACTATAAGCTGTTAACTTTTTTTTAAAAAAAAAAAGAATTGGGAATAAAATAAATGATGCAATTTTATGCTGCACTGTTATCAGCCTCATGTCAATCCTTTTGCATTAACTGCCAGCTCTGACTATAATAATAATAATAATAATAATAATAATAATAGTAAAGTTGGAAGGGACCTTGGAGGTCATCTAGTCCAACCCCCTGCTCGGGCAGGAAACCCTACACCATTTCGGACAAATGGCTGTCTAGTCTCTTCTTAAAAACTTCCAGTGTTGGACCATTTACTGCTTCTGGAGGCAAGCTGTTCCACTGATTAATTGTTCTCACTATCCTCCTGTTAGCTGGCAGCTTCTTTTGTATCATATGAAACTAGTTAGGCACCATATTTTTGGTTTCCAAAACAGTAAAATATTCTTAGTTTCCAGAACACAAGTTTTAATAGACATTATATGAGATCCAGATGTCACATGGAGAATAGATACAATCAAATAAATAAGAATAAAATTATGGAAAAGTAGTTGTACTAGCTTACAAAGCAAGAAAGAGTGCTCTGGTACCTTAAAATATCTATTGTGGAAATCATTTCATCGGATAAATAGTAGGAGAAACCTGCATCAAAGACCAAATCAAAGCAACACAACAATTTTTTTTTCCTTCTGAAAAAACTGTAGGTTCATTCTTACTCCTACAACATCTTCCTTCCTCTCTTAAATGGTTTCTGGAGAAATGAAAGTACAGAGGATCTTTTAACATTCTATCTAATAAAAAAAAGTTTTAACAAATATTAGATTAGATTAGATAACCTTTATTGTCATTTTTTTCCTCCAGGCACAATGGCACACATTAAAAAATGAAATTTAGTTGCTTCCTCTCAAAGTGTACAATACATAACACACATTTAAAACATACTATATACAATATATGTATAGACCTACACCCTTACATATAAGTAACATAAATATTATTCATTGTCCATCTTGAATACATAAGGGAAGAAGGAAGCTTTAGAGTTCACAAGGTTAATACTGTATGGAACAAAGCTGTGACTGATCCTGCTTCAGATACCACGGAGTCTCTTCCCAAAAGGTAACAAGGAAAACAGGTCATGAAGAGGAATATAATGACATTACTTGGAATTCAGGGTGAGAAATAATAGGGGATGGGAAAGACACCCAAGAGTGGGAAACGGAAAGGGAAGAGGAACTAATTTTTAAAGAAAATCTGATATGGTACCCCAAGAACTGGGACTTGAAAGAGAATGTTACCTAGAGCACCTTCAAATAAAGGAGCACTCCTGGCCATCATAAGAATAAAATAATAAAGATAGTACAACAATAAATAAACTAAATAAACTAAACTAAGATGATCAAAGGCCTGGAGATTAAAACATACGAAGAACAGCTACTGGACTTGGGTTGTATTTGGCTAGTTTAAAAAAAAGAAGTAGGGGAGACATAATAGCAGTGTTCCAGTATCTGAGGTGCTGCCATAAGGCAGAGGGGGCAGGTTGTTCACCAAAGCACCAGAGGGAAGGACAAGAACAACGGTTGGAAACTGATCATAGAGAGAAGCAACCTGGAATTAAGGAGAAACTTCCTGACAGTGAGGACAATCAACCAGTGGGAGAGCTTACCCCCAGAAATCATGGGTGCTCCATCATTGGAGATTTTTAAGAAGAGACTAGACATTCACCTGTCTGAGACAGTGTAGGTTTTCCTGCTTGAGCAGGGGGCTGGACTAGAAGACCTCTAAGGTCCCTTCCAGCTCTATTCTGTTCTATTCTAAATAAATATCAGGGACAAAGGAAGTGTATCTTGACTGAATCCATGCTGAGAAGTAATTCCCAAAGCATGAATTAGCACTAGAATTAGGATTAATATTAACTGTATTAACTGTACACCTACAATGTCATTGTGGAAGCTTGTTCCGGGAATGCATTACTGTAATTAAAATGAAATGGTAATGTTACATTGAGAAAAAGGACGCTTATGTGTTTGAAACCAAGTATGAACAGTATTCAATCATTGGCTGATCTCTTTTATGGTCACCCGAAGTTGTTGTCATTCCCACAAGTGATTGATGACTTGACTTTGATGGCTATGGTTGAATAATAATTATCTTTTGAGACCCTTTCCTTCTCTGATGTTGAATTGAAAGGAATAGAGTATTTTTTGTTCATAGGTGTACATTCCATTAATCTGGAAAGATTTATTTGGATTATTGCTTTCAAGTATTTAACTATGTAGTATATACACAAAAATAACCTGAGCCATCCTGAAAGCAAGAATAATTCATTTTTTTCAAATTAACATATATTCTAGAATGGTATTTTTATCATTTCTTATCTTGCAGTGATTGAATGCAGTTTGTACTTTCCCTCATAGGTGAAGGGACTGAGAAATTTCATATAGCTAAGTAGACATTTCCACTTGAGAGAGCAATTATGTTTGGAAGAGTTAACTGTAAAAGAAAACCAGGCCGTCAAAGAACACGGTAGCTGGACATCATCAAAACTGACACCAATCGGAAGACCTGGCCACAGAATTTTGAAGTCAGACATGACTGAATGTATAACATCATCATCATCATCATCATCAAGCAGGCATTTCAGATAGAAATATGATAAAAGTATGAAAGGCTGCTAGACAAGAAAATTGCAAAAGTCTACTAAATGGCATTCTTGTTGTGCACACACAGTTTACTTAGAAGTGAAGTCCACCCATGAAATATCTAGGACAGTGATGCTGAACCTTTTAGAGACCGAGTGCCCAAACTGCAACCCAAAACCCACTTATTTATCACTGGGTGCCAGGTGGGCGTGACCACTGGATGGGCATGGCTGTGGTCATGGCAGAGTAGGTGGGTGTGGTCACCTCAATGTTGCTCGTGGGGAGGGACGCCTGTGGGGGCCAGGCAGGGTTGGGGGAGATCCAGAGGTCTCTGGCAGGTGGGGTGGTGGGCAGGAGGCTCATCCTGTGGGGTGAGGCGAGGCAAGGCGAGGCGGGGTGGAGGTACCATTGTCGCAGGGCAAAGCAAGGCAGGGGCCGGGGTGGCTGCTGCCTGACACCATTGGCCCAGCCTGACACCATTGGCCCAGCACACAGAGGCCAGCGAGCGCATGGGGGCCATCAGTATCCGTCAGCAGCCACAGCATGCCGCCCCTTGACCGGCGCACTCTGGGGCTCTGCAGCCTGCCCCCAGCAGTTCAGAGAAGCCGCCTCTGACCTGAATGGCCGGCCGACAGCTGAGAAGGCGATGCAGTGGGTTGTGCTCAGGAAAAGGAATGGATGCGAGGCCAGGAGGGATGGGATGGGAGGAGGGAAACTAGCCATGCTGGGATGCATCCGGCCATGTGGGACCTTGAGTTAGCAGGCGGCTGGTTGAAGAGGGACCGTTGCCATCTCCAGGGCATGGTGTGTGTGCCCACAGAGAGGGCTCTGAGTGCCGCCTCTGGCACGCGTGCAATAGGTTCACCACCGCTGATCTAGGAGATCATAGATGATAGATAGATAGATAGATAGATAGATAGATAGATAGATAGATAGATAGATAGATAGATAGACAGACAAATCTGTGTACATAACAAGGATGCCATTTAGTAGACTTCTGCCATTTTCTTGTCTAGCAGCCTTTCATACTTTTATCATATTTCTATCTGAAATGCCTGCTTGATGATGATGATAATGATGTATTAACAGGCAAAATGCTTAAAAACATCTTGACTGATAAGAAAACATAAACTGTCCTTAGTCACTTGGTTTCATAAGGATATTAATACTGTATAGATTTTGCTGGTCATATGCAGACTAGATCTGGTAGTAGTATTGTACAATTGCAATAACATTATATTTTTATTTATTTAAATTTATTGAAATTATTTACATTTATAATATTGAATTATATTTTAACACACTTTATTGTTTCCACTGCTCCCAAGCGGACAAGAATAAAATTACACCGAGGAGCAAATAAAATACAGTATAAAGGGAATCTATACTATATTGTAGTTCGCTGGAAATCTGACTCACTGAATATATTCTACTTACTACTGAGTAGGTGTCTACATTGTAGGAGTTATTTGTTTACTCTAAACCCTATCTAAGTTGAATCATAAAGAAATCACATTAGACTTGCAATTTCCACTTAATGTTTCAACAACTCTTTGCTCTCCTTAGTACTATTTCAATGGGTTGAAGAATGCAAGAAAGCAAGTCTAAAAAAAACCTTTCAGTTTAAAAATTAAACAAAAGTGAGAAATCATGCAAGAGCAAAGTTCTTTTCGGGTCAGAAAAATTACAAATGATTAGAAACATACAAAAATACTAATGTAATAGAGTAAATGCATTATTTTCAAAGTGAAATCTGGAAAGAAATAGTAGTTTATAATAATAAACTGGCAATGATTGCATAACTTTGTTTTAAACTTTACAGTTATTTATTTCTGTTTGCATTAGCACATATTGTAACTTGTATTGCTCTTATGTACCAGAAATACATTCTTTTTTTTTTCATATTGAGTATTATTGTTTATATAATACTAGACATTTATAAGAATAAATCAGTATAGTTAAACTGACATTTGGTAAAACAGTAATATTCCTTTAAATAATTAACATTGTTGATTGCATAACAACTATTTCCAATCATCAAGCTTAATACTTAATATAATAAAACTCTCCCCTTTATGGATTACTGCCTTGTCGTGGCGAAGGGGCTTGCGTAACTCAATGAAGCTATAAACTATGCCGTGCAGGGCCACCCAAGACGGACAGGTTATAGCAGAGAGTTCTGACAAAATGTGATCCACTGGAGAAGGAAATGGCAAACCACTCCAGTATCTTTGCCATGAAAACCCCATGGACAGTACTAAA